CTTTTTTTTTTTTTTTTTTTAAGCAAACTCTTTTAAATATTCTAGAGCCATTTCACCAAGTTTAGCTATAGCATAGAGTAGTAGTGGAATTTTCCTCTTTCTTTTTTTGGAAAAACCATTATTAGGGACTTTTTTAAAAAAAATAAAATATCAAGATATTCTACTTTTAAAAAAAAGGACAGTGCATGCATATTGCTGTAAGGTCGTTTAAGTATTTCTAATTTTACAAAAAAAAAAAAAAAATCATTAGAGCTCCAAATGCTGAGGTGTAGACTGACAGCTTTAACACTGCTGAATGCCAGGTTATACAGTATTCTTACAAAAAGGGAAGTCAGCCAAAGACTGATCTGATGGACCAAAATCGGAATTTTGAAAAGCACCAATACTACTTTCCAAATGATCAGCAGGTTAAGCATGTTCAGCAAGGTATAGTGTGAATCCATTAACCCTTCGTTGTCCAGGGTCCAGACCAGAACTACTTGTTAGTTTTGAAAACAGTAGCCCAGGATGTGGTTGTGTGCTTTAGGAAAGTCAGCAGTGCTGCAGGCTGTATAGACAACCAAAGTTTACAAGGCTGGGAAGACACTTCTCCACATACACGTACACTAAGCATTTCCTTAAAAATCGAAAAAGATCCATTAGCTTTGGGGGGAGGGAAGGTTTAATGTAGCCCTTGGATACAGTTTTAAGTGGCTTTTAAGTATGTTCATAAAGGCAGCCCTAAATTGTAAATTGGTTTGCTTTAAGTCTCTTAAATCTAACTTTTTTCTTTTTTTCTTTTTTTTTTGTTTTTAGCATTTTTTTCCCTGTATTTTCATATACAAGTTGGTTTTAATTTTGTTTGGGTGGTGTTATGTTTTTTATAAATGGCTTTTTAGTGTAGAAAGTTCTGATGAGCAAATAAATACATCTATCTGCATGTTGGAAGTCCATCTGCCAGCACACCTGCTTAAAGTGAAATGAAAGCACATAACCAGGCTCTGAATGGGTTATATTTTATCATGGTGCTCCCAGAATCCTTTGACCTCACTCTGCTTTCTAGTCTGCTTGTGACACTGGACAGTCCTTTCTTACAGAGCTATTATATGTTCTAGGCTATGAAGGGTTAAATAATCCCAAAAATGAGGTATGTCATACCCACAAGTCTTTATCTCTAGAAGCTGTGATGTATGTGAAACAGCACTGTTATTCTTAACACTAGTGTGTAAAATAAGGATTAGTACAGTACGTCTCATTACTTTTTAATTCAGGGCACCCTGAGTGAAAACAAATACAAAAAAAATCCCTAACTCTGAGCTCTATCTCTGATTCCTCTTCCTCCTTCCCCTCTTCCTCCTCCTCTTCCTCTCCTCCTGTTTTGCTACATTCTCCTCAGTGGCAAAAAGTTTCACTCTACCTCTGACAGCATGTATATTGCACCAGTAGCTAACAAAAACTGGTCTAGTCAAACCAAATGGGCACAAAAGAACCAAGATACCAAAAGTTAAGCTCATACAGCTGCAAACCATATCACTTCTTGGTAACAATGCAGACCTCATAAACCTAAAGAAGAGAAAGAAAAGAAAACTTTTGTTACTTTCCTTTTTTGCTTGTCACTTATATACAGGCTATGTGAGAGTATAATTTGTAGGTTTAACACATTAAAAAAAAGTTATCTTCATTGGATAGAATTGAATGGTGGTCGCTGATAGGAATAGGGCGTCCTCTATCATCTCTGTCTTACTCTTTTTCTCTTTCTCTCTTTCTCTGTCATGAGACTGTGTGTGACAGGGCCACCTGTCTTTAATTTTTTTTTTTTAATGTGTAGGTGCATGTCTTGGGGATTTAAAAATTTCAAGGCTGGTTTACTTATGCAAAGCATGCCTACGTCTGGAATACTTAGGGAAAGAAAGCGACTCCATGTTGTCCGAATTCCTCAAGGGACAGGAAAAAAAAAAAAATTGGAGACTGTTGAAATGCAGATTTGAAGTATTTTTTTTTTTTTTTATTATTTTGGGTTCTGCGACATTGTGAAAAATTAAAGTTGTTGTGCAATACTTAATTCAGACATGTACCACAAGTTAATGGTTTGGAGACTGTTGAAATGCAGATTTGAAGTAATTTTTTTTTTTTTATTATTTTGGGTTCTGCGACATTATTGTGAAAAATTAAAGTTGTTGTGCAATACTTAATTCAGACATGTACCACAAGTTAATGG